TCCAGACCGAGAACAAAGGCAGCACGTCCGTTGAACCCGTCTTTGTGGCTGTAATTTAAGACAAGCTGGAATTCGAACGCTTGGCGATTCGCGTAAGAGCGCGCAAAATCTTTTGCGAATGTGACCTCAATGGAACTCGGTACCAATGTCGCAGATTGCGCGCGAAGCGATTACTTGCCAGGTCTCAGGACTCAAGGAGGCAATTCCAGTGACTGGTATGAAGCGCTCAATGTGATTCAGGTATGCGCAGGCTTCGTCTGGATCGAGGCCGTTCACAGTTGCAACTCCCAAGTAATTATCGAAAGAAAAATGAGAAAAAGAAAACGTCGCGTCGTTTGTCGTCGTTTCGTGTTAGGGTCGTAGGTAGATCGTAGATATCGAGGGTCGCTAGCGCAAGTTTTCGCGATGCTGTAGGATAAGGAAAAGAGTCGTGGTCGTAAAGAGCCGGACAGACGTTATCGTCGTCGTTAATGGTGGCGGATAGGCTCGTGATCGTGAACTTGTCGTGCGGGAATCGCAGCGCGCCCCCACCACCGAGGACGGCTGATACTTGCGAAAGGAACGACTGTGGTTGAAGAGAAGGGTGGGAGGGAGAAGATCGGAACGGTTTGGGTTGAGGCGGACCGGTGTAGTATGTATGGCAGCTCTAGACGGTGGGCGGGGTGGAGAAGAGAAGAGCGGGTGGCGCGAAGCTTGCGCTGGGAAGTCGGGGCAGGGCGGGACGCAGGATACGAATGGGAAGACACCTGTGCCTGCGCGTGCCTGCGCCTGAGCCTGAACCCAGTGCCTGAGGGTTGCAGTGAGAGGTATCCGTAGCCGGGCCCTTGAACGCCGAAGGTACTTGGAGTTGGGGTGAGCTTCGCTTGAGCCCCCGTGCAGACAGCAGAGCGTGGTGGCCGGGGGGGCGTTGTACAGCGGTTGAGCACGCTAGAATCCCCCACTTGGCTAATCCCAAGGGAACCTAGTCGTGCCGTCCAAGGTGACTGACAGTGGAGAGTCTGTGAGCGACGGACCAGCGATGGCGCCGCAAGACAGGTCCAGAAGCTCACCAGCGCATGTGGCAGAGTGGAGTCTCGGGTGAGCGTAGTGATGGTGCTTGTTGTCCGCAGAGAGGACCCTGAAGATGTGCGGTGTGGTGCGTGAAGTGGGAAGCGCCGTAGAGGGGATTGATCGTCTTGAGTCTGCTTCTGGGACTGGAACCGGGTGAAGTCGTGGCTCGTCAAAGTCTGCTCTCCTCTTCTTCACAGGGGTCTTGGAGGCCCTTCAAGGGAACTGGGCAGCGGCGCGGGAAGGGTGTCGGTGATTGCAGTAGGCGCATGCACTCCGTATGCACTGTGTTGTGTGGTGTAGCCAGTCGACGGACACGACAGGAGTGCATGTGCAGCGGATCATGGAGCAGCGGACGACGAGGGTCTAGTCCGGACGAGGGAGGAAAGCAAAGCAAAGCAAAGCTCAGGACTCCCGTTGGTCGGTTTGCTCGTTCGCAGTTGCAAGGTAAGGTACGACGCGCGCAAAGTCTGGGAAGCGCGCCGAACCAAGGATCGGGTTGGTCGAGGCAACGCAGCCAAAGCAGGCCCCCGCGATGCTGATGACGGAAAGGACAGCAACGGCAGCAAGATCACTGGCCCGTCTCGGTTATTGGGCGATGCCGCAGGCGTAGCAGATGCAGTAGAAGTCAGGCTAATCCCGCGACTAGCTGGACTCAATCGGACGGTTGATCCAACAGACGAAAAGACAGACCACTTCACGAGCCGGTCTGATGTCTGGGAGTCCGGATAGACCACGGCGCGCAGTGGAGGTTTCGCACAAGACAACACTCGGCCAGGTTGCTTGGTTTGTGGGGCAGTGAGACAATTAACCAGATGATGCTGGCAGCTGGATGTGCGTGTGCAGCTTCGTGGTCTCCTTTTTTGGCAGTGAGTAGGGCGCGTTTGCCCTGTAGCGATTGCTCCGCGAATACGGCGGTATGTTGCTCTGGTTCGCAGCCTGTGCGATGGTTTGCGCTCGGCCGGTTGGGACCGGGGCCCGGAAACGCAAGAGGCTGGTTTCTGCGTATGCAGCCGACAGGCCCGTTCGTGCCGGCCGTTCGTTCTTGGGACGAACAAAGTATCAACGTGCGGAGAGTGAGCGGCTAGCAAGCCACAAAGTGGATGATCGGGTGGGTAGTGGTGCCGGCTCTGGTTGAAGTCGGAAGCTATCGATTGCAATGGACGAGACAAAGTCTCAAAAGAGCGTGGACGTATGATTCAGAGTCACACCGGTCGACGGCGGAATTTAGACTGAGCTGAATGAAAGGAATAAGCCCAGAGAGCGAGTGGGTGAAGCAGTTGCGATGGGTGAGAATTGGGTATTCCTTTGGCCAGTTCTCACATTTGGGTTGACGGAGAGCAAGTTACCGCAGCGGCGAGAGCGGCAGGTGAAGCGCTAGATGTGCCCGGTGAGCGTCAAGGTGAGTGAGTGCGACGGGCGGGCAGCGACTCATGGCATCACAAATTGTGGGCGGTGACGTCCATGGAAGAGCCAGGAGAATTAGCGGGGTGTGTTGAGCAAAGCAGAGGCGGATGAAACTGAATTGATGTGATCCGTGCGAACCGTGGAAAATTCTGACGCCTGATGCCCGGTGGTGGACGACCAGGAGTGAAGTGGGAAATCGCGACTTTTACGCGACTTACACGCGAAGAAGCGCGATCGGTGGGGGCATATGCATATGTGGGTCTGTCGCGCGTTTCCTAGGTTCTCATTGGGTTGACGGGGGTCACCTGCATTCACATTCTCTCAGCAGGGCAGGTCCAGGCCACACATCACTTCTTCCGTTGGGTCCTTCTGTCCTGGATTTGAGTATCGACAATGAAGGCAGCTCCCCGCGGCCACCACAGCTCTCTCCTGGTCCCCTTTTTAGTGAGAAGAGAACGCAACTGAGACTTTGGAGCGCATGAAGATGTGACGCGAGGATCGATGGGTAGCGGCGGCTGTGCGTTGACTGGCTGGGAAAGACCCAAGGCGACGTTCCTGGCTCCTTCTCCAAGTTGTAGCTGAGATCCTAAAGTGCCATCTTCCGACGACTGCCCTGATTCATGAGAAGAGGCCCGAGTTGCTTCTTCCCCTGTTGCCAGGAGCAATTAACAACCCAGCAAAATCCTACCACGCTATCTCCACGGCCCAGGTGCAGTGTGCGGCGTGCCCTCTCAACGCTTTGCACGATGCGACACCAAGAGAAGGGCACCATTGAGACGATCCCGGCCGACACTAACATCGCGTGCGTTCTCAAGGAATACAGGCCCTCTGGCACTTACACTTACAACGCCTGGAGGCTGGGAGACAGGGCAACAAACCATGCCAATACGAGCTTCGTTCGGCGGCTCACGCGAAACACACAAACCACATTTATCCCAAGGACAGGGTGCACGGCGTTGCTTTGCGCTGCGCTGCTTTCTCCTACCCTGCCAAAGTGTCTGCTATTCGCAGTGAAGCCGGTTGACGTCGAGCCAATCGAAGCACAACATGGCGCACCAGCCGGTCCTCAATGCCTGCTTCGGTCTGCACGGCGATGGAGTCGCGATGCGGTGAGCCCTTTCTGGGATGGCTTTACCATCGACCTTATCTGCTGCTTCTCGCTTCTCAAGCACCCTGCCCTATGCAGCAAGTGGGTTGATCCCAGCGCCTCTTGCGAGTTCGCTGCGCAGCGCACCGTTTAATTTCCATGAACCTGTTTGCCTGCCGACCAGGTTAGCATTGGTTTTGGTCGGAGAGAAAATGACAGGAGGCCCGCCTCGGTGATCAGCAAGTCTGCTGCGACGCTGCAGCTGAACCATCGAGATCCGCCGAAATGCGAGGATGGTGGACTTCATGCGAAGGCCATGCTCTCTGCCGGTGTACATACGTCTGGGGCAATCAGCTCTCAATGTCAGGGTGTTGCCGGCTGGTGTCAATTTCGTCTCCCGCCAGCTCGAAGTCTTCCATGTCGTCGGAACTAGCGACCCTGCTTTACAGTTTACTCTCCACGGCTTGTTTCAATGTGCGATTTAGCTCGTGGTCAACGCTGAGGCACAAGCCTGTTCGACTGGAGCGTCGAACGAAACGGCGAAGGGCACACAACAACGGTTCACTGCAACTGCAACGCCAGAGCTGAAGAGAGAGGGCCAACGCGTGTGGGCCAATCACACCGCGCATGCTGCCAGCCGCCGTGCTGTGCGGGCATTGACGTTGCTGCGAGATCAGGAAGCATTGAACCGAAGATGCTGTGGCGCCGAGTGCCTGCACAGCATCCCTGCTACCGCTGCTCTTGATGTCCAGCGGTAATATTCAACAATATCATCAGACGGCCTTGAGGAGCACTCGGCTGGACTTGCACGATCCACGGAGGTATTGGCATCTGAGCATTCATTTTGAGAGCAATGGAACAGAAAGAGCAGACTGTCTTGATGGCCTCGCAATACACAGGACTTTGAATCCTATCTTCGATCCCTGGATATCTCGCATGGCCATATTATCCGAGACGAGATGCCAAAGGAGGTCCCTTCCTGGGCTTGCATTCCTGCGGTGGCAAAGGCTGCAGACTGGGGGTCTTTTTTGGGTTGCGCTGCTTTACGAGTCCAACAGGCTCGTCGGCCGGCTCAACTTAAGCTCATCAGACCAGAGCCGCAACTTGTCTGTTCTGAGCAATAGTCCATGTTACAAGTTGAAGTTTGACCTCAACCAAACGCCAAGCTGCACTTGAAGAACGCCATCGTCACCATTTAGCATTCGGACCAGCAGTCTGTCGGCTGCGCTATCACCAATCCCATCCCTTCAATATTTGTCGATCCACGCCATGCCATTCCAAGAACGACAGTTTACGCCACAATTCTCACATCTCAAGCCATGAGGGGCCTTTGGATTCCAGTCTCCTCGCCCTCGAACGAGCAGGGTCATTTCTTTGACGTTCCCCTTCTTCCTCATCAGGAGATGTCTTCCCTATCCTTTCCCATCGATAATTCGATTGCACCCATCAGCTGCCCATCATGCTCGGGCCATTTCAGTTTGTGAAGATCGCTGGGCCATTCTTGTTCATCATCTGGTCGATCTGGTATCTGGGAATCTCACGCCAGCAGGTTCATGAGCTCGCTCGAAACTTCCGCACGCAGAGGGACCTTTTTGTCGCCGACTTTCTCGAACACGAAATTGATGGAAAATTCAATGGATCGGCCATCACCAACCTCTGCATGAGCAAAAAATGGTCGCCCGGCTTGGTTATGAGCTGCGATGCCGTACATGCTGGTATCGGTGTCGTACGCAATGCATATCTGCATTGCATACGCTTTGCCATTGAGACAGGAGGTAAGAAGGCCTCTCGTGGTCGTACTCTTGGTCTAACATCAGATAGCTGAGCTGATTCTACCCCAAATCACACCTCGCTCGCCAGAAAACCTACAAGATATTGTGTCGAAGCCCGGGGTGCCCATCGACTACTTCTTCGACTCCGATCACCTCCATCATGTCCTCTCCACATACTGCCCTCAGATGAAGGTTTACGAGTCGCTGGACGAACTCTACGACGTCCCCGGTGTTATGAATGCCTTCGCATTCGATATGGGCGTCTTTGTCAAAGAATGGGTCAATGGCACTGTCCTAGCGAATCCCAAGGGCTGGAACAAAAGTTTCCGCGACTGGTTGGACACGCAGTCGCCGCCGGCAACAAGGGAGTATCCTCTCCGCGTCCACCTGAAGCACACGCTCTGGGTGTGGCCAACGGCAAATGACACTGCCGCGGTGGCCTCATCCTTTGGACGTATTCTGCGTATTCGGCAAGATGCTCGACGGCTCGCCGCATCGGCGCTCTTCTCACTTGCGCACCGTTTCAGGCTTAATCTCGACCCGCGCACGCGGTACCACCCGGAGAGCTTCGTCGGGATTCACTTGCGCACCGAGGAAGACATTACCGGAGGGGGCTTTCCAGATTATATCACGCAGGCTGCGGATTACTTCCACTTCCTGTCGGACTGCAGCGCCCCTGTTGCTTACCTTGCATCCGGGGCGACCGATGCCAACGTCACGGCCTTTGCAGAACGTGCCGAAGATTTCAATGTAACGGTCGTCACCAAGGGCGACATTCTTGATGCGCAGGAGATGAAGGAGCTGGAAGCGTTCACGTGGGATCAACGCAGTCTGGTGGACTACGAGATCATGCTCCGGGCCGGGCTGGTGGCAGGCATCGGCAAGAGCAGCTTTGCGTGGAATCTGGCACTGCGGCGGTCATATGCCTTCGGAGACGGCCCTCAGGCGGTACCGCATCCGCTCGGGGATACAATTGCTTGGAAAGACGAGTTCACGACGCTGTACGGGAAACATGAAGCTCGCGAGGACGCCATGAGGTCGACGATATGGCCATGACGGAGCACAAAAAGGGTCTCGCTTTTTTTTTTTTTTTTTTTCATCTGAATTTACAACAAAATGTCGCTTCTGGGGTGGGTATGTAGCATCACATGTAGGCGTTGGGTCTAGGTTACTTGGCTAAATGCTTACGTTGGTTCATCGGCGCGGGCCTGTCACGTACCATCTGCATGCAAGGGATATCATATCAGGCCGTCTCATGTCAGCCAGAACGTCGTTTCGCTAACCCCTTTCCCTCGCTGCGTGAAACCCTGGGTTTAGGCGGCTCAGGCGTGTGTATTTTGAACGTCCGCGTCGAGATCTGACTTGTCATGGATGATGGCAGAACACGGAGACACGAAACCCCTCACTTCGGTGGAATTTTCGTCGCTCTTCCGGCCGGCAGGGCCCCGGACGAGCTCTCGCAGCGCCCGGCGTTGGACGGCAGCGGCGGGCGGGGATGGGGGGCCGGATGACCATGGCAATCGCGGGGATGGCACGACCGGGTGCCTTCATTGGCCGCCTTGTTGCCTTCGACTCGGTTGAAGGAGGGCTGACGTTTGGACTGTGTAACCATCGACGGGCTAGGTAAATGCTTGAAGCGGGATATGGAAGTAGTGGGCAGCGACGCTGGGAAGGGGAAGCGAGAGCCGTCAGAAGCGTGTCTGTCTCGACGAGCGCTGGCCAGGCCTGCAGGCCGTGGCTGACCCGCATGAAGAGCTGCGTCCAACGTGCATTTTCCTGCCCAGTGCCAGTGTCTCTCTTTTTTCGTGTAAAGGCGTGCGGTCAGTGGTTCCGTCACGCGACCCCTCCTCCCTCCTCATCATCCCTACCGCAGCGGCTCTGAGCGGGCATGGAGGGGGGAGGGGGGCACGATTGGCTGCGATGATTCACATCTCGCAGCCCGAAAGGCAGATGAGGTGATGTGGACGGCAAGCTGGTTATGTTTTGAGCCAAACAAGTGTCTCCCGTCTGACGGGCTTGTCCTGTCGTGTTCCACGTATTGTGTCTTGTAGCTGGCGTGAGGCAAAAAGAGAGACAGGGCGGGCTTGGACGAGGAGGGGTACATTTGTTCCTTTTTTTTTTTTTTTTTCTTGGCACGATGTGAATTTGGGTGGTGAAGTGGGGGCCCAAAGTTGCGCCTGGCTAAGGTACTTACTTACTGCAGCACAGCACATTAGTGTAAAGCAGCCTAAAGCAAAGCAGTGAGCCAGAGACAAGCATGACGAAAAAAAAGACAGACCCAACCCAGCTGGATGCTTGAGGCAAGGTGGACGAGACACTCTCTGCTAGGTATCTGTAGGCAGTGAGTGGATGGGGTCCGGGGTTCTCGCTGCGATCCAGTGCTGCTGCGCATCATTGTTTGCATTGGAGTCTTGCTAGCGGCGTCCTCGCTCGCTGCACTTGCCTTACCTGGACTACGAGATACTTGAGATGAGGCCTTTTGTACCCAGGTATTCTATCCTGACTGAGGGTGTTTGGATTGCCAGCCAAGTATATTAGGTTAGGACTGGTTTTCAACCCTCCCGAATCAGCGACGCCCAAACACACCTTGCCATTCTTTCTCTTGCCCGTCTTTCTCTGGCCCTTTGGCACGGAGACTGACCTGACCTGACCTGACCTCACCCAGGCAGCCAGCCCTTCAGGAACGAAGACGGGAACGGACGACGACGCATGAGTGATAGTGGATTCTGGCCTCCTGCCGTCTATTGCTGATAATCCACCAACAGCTGCCAGGGGCCCCATTTCTCCCCTCCTCGTGTTCCTCCCGCTCTCCAACATTCACAAAACATCAGTCAACGCCCGTGTGGTCGTCGTCTTCATCTCGGCCGCTTTCCAACCGACATCTCGCCCTCCATATATATATCCCACGTACGCACGCGCACATCATACAACACACCTTCCTGCCCACACACACACACACACGCACATACACAGATATAGTACACGCGAATCCTAGAGGAGACGAAGATCATCAGACCGCAACCAACAAGCAGCCACATCCAGGCAAATGTCGGCAGCCGACAACCTTGGATAGAGATCCCTCCTGTTCTGCATCCAGCTCCGAAATCCCGAAATACCACCCAGCACACAGCACAAAACACACAACACAGTACGGCGCAACACCACCACCACCACCACCACCCCTCCTCCTCCTCCCAAACGAACCCTGGCGCCATGGCTTCAAGCGCTGACATCATAACGCTTGACAACTTTGAGCGGCTGTTGCCAAAATGGGACCCCGCGGGCCCCAATTACCTGTACGCCCTGGTTGATATGGGCAGGTCAGTCTGAGAAATGAAGTTCCTGCGTCGTCGTCCTTTGCCTGTCGAGTCGTTGCTTTTTTCTTCCTTCGTCTTCTTCCCGAAATTCTTCAACCAAGCATCGGGCGTGCTTTCTTTTTTCTCGCGCATCGCAGCGATCTGTCTGGGGGATTACCCCCCCTCCCATCTCCCCTCCATCCCCCCTCTCGGATGCTACCCTGCCAAACACAGCGCACACAGCGGCTGCCCCTCCCCTCCTTAGCGTCCTAGCTCCCGCTGACTAGAGGCGGCCGCCCGCTGACCCCACTACAGCAACGGCATCCGCTTCTCCATCTCGGACCTCACCCCGCCCCAGACCCGTCTGCTGCGCCCGATATACCGCGAACGCGCCGGCATCTCCCTTTTTGACGCCCTCAACTCCTCCTCCACCGCCGCCTCCGAGCCCCTGACCTTTCCCCCCGAGACAATCACAAAGGTCGCCGAGACCCTCGCCCGCTTCCGTCGCATCGCCGTCTCCTATGGCGTTCCCCCCGCCCACTTCTCCGTCCTGGCCACCGAGGCCATGCGCCGCGCCGCCAACGCCGCCGATATGCTAAAGGCCATCCGCGAGGCTGCCGACATTGGAGTCCACGTCCTCGCCCCCGAGGTCGAGACCCTCTTCGGCGCCGTCATGGGCTCCCGCTCCGCCTTCGTCGACATCTCCCGCGGCGGCCTCTTCCTCGACCTCGGCGGCGGCTCCGTACAGATGACCTGGGTCGACACCCGCCTGCCCGACTACGAGATCGCCGCCGCCCTCGCCGGCGAGAGCATGCCCTTCGGCGCCGCCCGCCTCATCCGCATCCTCGAGGGCCAGACCGCGGAGGTCCAGGCCCAAGAGAAGCAGAAGCTCAACGCGAGCATGCAGGGCGCCTTCGCCAAGCTCTGCGACAAGTTCCCCGCCCTCGCGCAGGCGAAGCAAGAGTGGGCTGCTGCCGGCGGCGCCGTCAACGGGACCGTCCCCGGCGGCATCGACGCCTACCTCTGCGGCGGCGGCTTCCGCGGCTACGGGTGCATGCTGCAGCACAACGACCCCATCCAGCCGTACCCGATCCCCTCGGTTGGCACCTACACCGTGACGGGCGAGTTCTTCAAGCAGACGGAAAAGATGCGCCGCGTCAACCGCGAGCACGAGGGCAAGATCTACGGCATGTCGAAGCGCCGCCGCCAGCAGTTCCCCGCCATCATCGAGGTCGTCGAGGCCTTCATCCGCACCGTCCCGCACTTGCGCACCGTCACCTTCTGCGGCGGCTCCAACCGCGACGGCGCCCTGCTCATGAAGCTCCCCAAGAGCGTGCGCGAGAGCAACCCGCTCGAGGCGCTCGCGGGCTTCGCGCTGCAGAGCTACTCGGGCGAGGAGGACGGCGAGCTCGCCGTTGCGGGGGCGGTGCTGCGCACGCTGTACGGCGCGGTGCCCAAGAACGTCGACATCTCGCGCACGCCGACCGTCTTCTCGCTCGGGCTCGGCCCGCTGTTCGCGAAGCAGATCTGGATCCACCAGGGTGAGGACGACGACGCCAACGCGTCGTACGCGCTGCACGAGACGGTCACCAGGGACCCGAGCGCCCCCGGGCTGACGCACCTGGCGAGAGCGGTGCTGGGCCTGACGGTGTGCGCGCGGTGGGGGTCCAACCTGGGCCCGATCGATGCGCAGCTGTACGGGAACCTGAAGGGTCTCGTGGCGGAGGCGAAGCTGGAGAGCGTGTTTTGGGCCGAGTATTTGGGTGCTGTCGCGGCTGTGATTGTGGACTTGGTGCCGGCGTGGCCCAAGAATGTGGATGAGTTGGAGTCGACTTTAAGGTGTGTATTCCTCTCTTCCAGAGTGTTTTGAGGACAAACCCTGACATCAAAACCGCAGATTCGAAGCCAAAGAGAGCGTAGACCCAGACAAGAAGCGCGCGCGGATCGACCTCGTCGTGCACGTCGCGCCGGGCGCCGCGGTGGGCATCGACCCGGAAGACGTGCTGGCGCGGCTGGCGAACGTGGGGAAGAAGCGCAAGGACGGGACGAAGCCGGAGAAGAGGGTCACGGTCAGGATCCAGGAGATGCAGAAGTGACCTTTTTTCGTGAGGATGAATTTGTTGATGAAAGAAAGATACCCCACCCTCCCTCCTCTTCAGACTTGGACTTGGATTCTTTCCACCCCCTTCTTGATGGATAATGTTGTTAAGTGATGAATGTAATGGAGTATATTCGTTGTCCAACTTGCATGTTGTTGTCTGTAAAGGTTGTATCCCTGTGGCCGGCTCCCGCACAGATGACCCGATGAGTTGCCCGTTCCGGTATCCGGACCCGGCTCCGATATGACCCCGCTTTTCCGGTCTCTCGTCCGTGGCCGCCGATCTGCGCAAAGAATGCAATGATGCGTCGTTCTATGAAGAAGACGACAAGCTACCTAACACGCATTCACCGAAAGACCTCTACATCGACACATCGACACATCGACACATCGACTTCGAATGTCCTACTACACTTCTTTGAAATGGCGCTCTGCTGAACGAAAGGCACTGAGTTCGATTCTTTCCCCGCAACGCTTCGAGGACCCCGCGCGGGGTAAGGTAGACCCGGAGGAGAGTGGTTCGTCTCTGCGGGAACCGGCGCCGAAGTCCGATTACGACTCTACATTCCGGGGTGTCGTTTTCCTCGGGCCAGGCTCGTGGACTTGGTATACATCTAGATCAGGTCCCGGGCGATTTAGACAATATGGGCATCAGAAACATGACTCTCAAAGTTTGCTTGTAATCCTTCCACGGCTCTTCTCTAGCTCAAAATGAAGCCGTATCTCGGCCTCATACCCTCGGTCCTCACAATTCCCGCCGTCGCGTTCAGCCCCGACTGCACCGCGACAACCTTCGCCTTCCCAGACACAAGGCTCATATCGGCCTCCCTCCACCTCGCCAACACCACCCTCCTCCTCCCGCAAGTCCCCTCCTGCGGCGGCGCCTTGTACAACCTCACAACCCCCGCCTCAATCTGCCGCGTCGTCCTCGACGTCCCAACATCGCCCTCGAGTGCCGTGCGCGTGGAGGGCTGGCTTCCGCCCCCCGAGGCCTGGAACGCCCGGCTTCTCGCGTCAGGGACCGGCGGCATCGGGGGCTGCGTCGATTACGCCGTCTTACAGAGCGGCGCGCAGCTTGGGTTTGCGACGTTTGGGACGAATGTGGGGCACGACGGCGCGGCGGGGTGGGATTTCTTTCTGGACAAGCCGGAGACGGTGCGGGATTTTGGGACGAGGGGGGTGCATGTTGAAGTCGAGACGGCGAGGAAGGTTGTGGCGGCGTATTATGGTAGGAAGGAGAAGGCGAGGTATTATCAGGGGTGTAGCACGGGCGGGAGGCAGGGACTGCAGGAGGCGGCGATGTTTCCGGGGGATTTCGACGGGGTGCTGGTCGGCGCGCCGGGGGTGGATTGGTTAAGGATTGTGGCGTCCAAGGGGATTCTGGCGAGGAGGGTTGGATGGCCTGATGTTGGCTCGGAGGGGTACGTGAAGAATGAGGTTTGGGAGGAGGTTGTGAGGAGGCAGGTTGAGATGTTTGATGCCGCGGACGGGGTGGAGGATGGGATTGTTGATGAGCCGGGACGGCATGTGTTTGATCCCGCGGTGATGGCTTGCGGGGAGGGGGAGGGGGAGGAGGTGTGTTTGAGGCCGGAGCAGGTTGAGTCTGTGAGGAGGGCTTATGAGCCGATTAAGGATTCTGAGGGGAGGGTTGTGTATCCGGCGTTCGGGCTCGCGGCGGATACGGGCGTGTTTTCTGAAAACATCGTGGATGGGAGGGCGGAGTTGGTGTATACGATTCTCCAGGTGAGAGTCCCTTGTGTGCGTTTGAGGATGGGAATACTAATACATGGAGGACCAGGACTTCTGGAGAGGCGCGGTCTACAACGACACCTCCTGGACGCCGCACGCCTTCACCGAGTCGCAGATGGACTTCGCCGTGGCCCTCAACCCAGGCGGCATCAACGCTGACTTCCGCAACCTCACCGCGTTCCGCGCGCGCGGCGGCAAGATCCTGCAGTACCACGGGCGGGCGGACCAGACCGTCACGCCGGCCCTAAGCTCCGAGTTCTTCGAGGGCGTGAAGCGCGTGGTCGGGCTGACGCAGGCGGAGATGGACGGGTTCTACAGGCTGTTCTTTATCCCGGGGATGAGGCATTGTAGTGGTGGGAGGGGCGCGTGGGATATCGGGCAGACGTACCCGCTTGATGGGCGGCGGCTGGATCCAAGGGGGAATGCGTTATTGGCGCTTGTGGAGTGGGTTGAGGGCGGGAGGGCGGTGGAGGAGGTTGTGGGGGCGATGTATGGGGGTGAGGGCAAGGGCGAGGTGCTGGCTGAGAGGAGTGAGTTTGTTTTCTGTGGCTTGTGAGTGTGTTGTGGATGTGGTTGCTAATTTGAGGCAGAGTATTGTTCGTACCCGTCTGAGAGTCGATGGGATGGGGTTCAGAACTCGAATTTGTCGACGGCGTGGAACTGCGTGCTGCCTGTCGACTGATTGTTCGGAGGCAGAGGAAGACAAGCTTAGACACAGAGTTTCGGCATTCAGAGATCGACGTAATCTGCGTTGTTGCTGGAGATATCCCATTAATACATGGTGAATCAAGGTCGGAGTTACACATACGCACGTAGAGCAGTGATGCAGCGTGCTGTGGTAAGACAAGATGCCGCTGTGGTAAATATAAATACTTTTGATTCTATTGTAAGATCTTGATGTCAAAGAAAGAGCCTAAAAGACCATATATCCCCCACGCGTACTCATATTCTATCTCTCCGTAACTCCTAGCCCTCAACCCCTTGCTCTTCTACGCACTACTGTCAGCCAACTCGCACCAGATGGAAACAAACCCCAGATACCCAGCATCAACGGCGTACGACCGCCTTGTGAATGAGCCCACATCTACACAGGTTCCCACGTATCATCGACACTATCAGACATTACCCCAAATTGACTATCGTCCGGACATAGGCACAGGTCATCATCGTTTCGTGGACAGCAGCAGAGTCTCCCAAGCAACATTCGAGAGCCTCGTCGGCAGAGGCAGAGGCAGCACTGCGCGTAGGGATAATCACGTCACATGGGAGGTTGATGCAGACGGGGACGTGATCATGATAGACGCTCCTCCCTTGGAACGTGAAGAATCGTACATGAGATTTGTTAGGAGCTGAGCAGTCTGACCCCGAAAGATGGAGGCTGTGTGTCTCTAAATTCAGCGTATCTGTCATTGCCTTCCATCAATCTATCTTTGCTGGCCAAGGATATGCGTGGGGGTTGAGACACAGGCGAAGCTAGGGTTCCTCTCTGCGAAGGGCCGTGCCGTCACTTCGCTTTTTGATGATGTAAAATCTGCGGCGGCAATACCGAAGGGACCAGGCCTAGACACAGAACGCAGAGTAAAGAGAAAACAGGACTTCATGCTGTTCTAATGTTGCATGAGTGTCAGATATCGTCTTCGAGCACGCGGGACAGGGCACCTGTACCTCCATGCTGCACCAGTGACAGTGCCATCAGAGGCGTCAACGTACCCCAGAAGCCGACTTGGAGCCCAGTCGCAAGGTGTCTACCCGCGCTGCCTCTTGGCGTCTCATATATGCGAGGATCAGGACTGCCGCGCAAGCAGCGTCCTGGGCGGAATGGTGGATCGCAGTCATCCGTGGCTGCCATGTATCATTGCGCACGCTGTCAGGTTTGATAGCTAACCTACCCTCTGCGTCTCATCGCATAACACGACTTTGTTGGTTCACAGAACCTTGCCATCGCCATCTACTTCCTCCCAAGGTCGATCACAACCATCCGGGCGCAGACAGGTAGTACAGGAGAACAGGCAAGTCCGCGATGATTCTGCCTCGACAGCCCTTTGCTAGACTCACAGGTGGATCAGGTCATTTCAATAGCGATCAATATCAAATTCAAGCTCTACCATACGTTTCATGGGATAGGTATCCAGTAATCATGTTCTAAATGCTTTTGATCCGAGCCAATATCCACAACGAAGCAGCACAAACTCATCCGCTCTTCTCATTATAAATCACGCCAGACATCTAATCGATACTGTCAGCGATATGCTTCTAATGGAAAGAAGTCTTTCGGGATGTCTTGACTTACCAAGAAAGGACCAACGTAGGTCAACGGCACTCCGGCATCGTTACTCCAGTAGGGGGGAACTCCCCAACCCCTCATGTTGGGACAGTTGGTAAACTGCGGTGGGTTTACGCGGGCCCATGTGGTCTCATACGGATTGTAATCGAAGTTGAACTCGCAGACAGGCAGGTTAGACTGGATATCACATGTTGTTAGCGCCGTGAATTCTTCGCCACTTACAGGCTGCGCAGACTGCGAAAGAGGGTCAACTCACCACACAGCTCAATGTCAGGTCCTTCACATCAAACGCCTCAGACCCGTTCTTCCCACGACACGACTGAGCATCGATGTAGAGCTCGCTCGGCGTCGTCCAGTTTTTGGAAAATGCCACGTCGAGGATCTCCTTCATGCGATCCATGCCGATATCTACCATCCACGAATGATTAGTCGAGCTCTGGGACAACATTTCTCAAATGCAATAGACTCACCGTTTGCTTTCGCGAGGCCGTATGAGTCTTTACCGTCGAACCAAATTGGGCCGCACGTCATCTTGTCGTCCAACTTGGAGCAATCATACGGGTCAATAGGAATTTCCCGCGGGTCGACACCGGGACTGCAAGCAACTGGTTAGTCTCCATTTGGTATAGTGCTTGAGGGGTGAAGCCAACGCACTTCTTGACGGCGAAGTAGCCTGCTTGCTGCAGAGCCTGGTTGAATACCCATTTCTTGAGGTTGTGGTACATAAAATCGGTATCCTCTGGTAAGTTCGTCTTGAGCCTCTGTTGGCCGAGTGTCAGTACAACTCTGCAAAGCACAATAAGTTGAAAATTACCTGGCTGAAGCCACCATTCGAGGTAAGCGCATAGAATGTGTCAAAATTTGTCTGGATTTCAGTCAAAGCTGCTCCGACATTCTTCTGAAATTCGTTGACGTTCGTCCCCAGGGCATCGGACAAGCCCTCCCAGGGCACATCGTACACCGTC